GCTTTGAAACGCCCCCTGAACGCTGCTGGGGCTTGTCTGGCCCTGGCTTTTATTGATTTTCTGGCTGACAGTCCTCTGCCAGGAACTCACTCGTTTTAATGCAGTGTTAATTGGGAGGGAAGGGAAGGAAAGCTTTTCTGCTGCAGGCTCACAGGGGCTGGGCTTCCTGTCTCCTCTGTCCTCTTTGCCAGTGTATTCCCTCTCCCAGGCCTAAGCTCCGGGCCTAGCCTGGTGGCCAGATCTAGACTCTGTTCATGTCCTCCTGCTGACTCACTGCACAACCTCGGACAAGCCCTGCCTGGACTTCAGCCTCTTGGACTGCAAAATGGGACAAGAGACCCTTGCTACTTGGGGCCAGAGTAGTGGATTATTTTGGAGAAGAAAAAGAATTTTGAAGAAAAGAATTTTAGCTCAGAACCTTGGCTCAAAACAAAACAAAACAAAACAAAAAATCACCAGTTCTCTTCAGGTCTCTAGGTTTCCAGACAGCTTGGGTCTGAACTCTTGATAGCCTTGAATAAGTCATTTGAACCTTTCTGTGCCTCAGTTTCCTTACATGCACAAAGAAGAGATAAACAGGACCCCAGGGCCTCTGGTTGTACTAACTGAGGTGTAACCAGTACAGCACTCAGTAGATAGAACTAGCAGATAGATAGTACTTGCTCAAGGTTACCTGTTTCCTTATCTGGGCTGAGAGAAACTCACTTGCTTGAAATCCACACTGTATTTACATTATTCAGTATTAATGCTGCCCTTCTAGACCCTGTGTTGAGATACTGGAGTGTAATAAACCCCATTTCTTCTTTGCCGTTTGAATCCTTCTACAGGTTTAACCCATTCTGCATAGGAAATTCTCCCTGTTTCTGTCTTCCTGCCTGATCTTGGAAGAACACAGCACCCCAGGCTCCAACACCAGGTTAAGACTCCTCTGGGGGCTGGGAGAGGTAAGGTTTTCTTTCCAGAAAGATAATTTTGTACGCTGCATTCCTGAGCCCTGAAGTCACCTTGTGCCATGCTGCATGTCACAATGTCCCCTCTAAGGGAGCTTTGTCTGGGCTGAGGCCTATTCTTCCCCCACCCCACCTGTGCTCACTCCTGCCGGCCCCTCACCACTCACCGGACACCTCCACATATCCATCCTTTGGTCTTCACTGTCAGTTCCTCAGGCTTGAAGCTGTGCACGTTGACACACACTTTCCATGGCTCTCCAGAGAAGGGTGGAGGGCTCCTGCCCTCGGCAGGTACCCCAAACCTGGCTGTAGCAGTGGGCCCCCTGGGCACCATGCCGGACCTCAGGGGCCCTGGCCAGGCAGAGGAGAGCCGAGGCAAAGCCCAGTCAGGCCAAGAGGCCGTCAAGTCGTCGGGGAAGGGGTCCATGCCAAAACCATCGTCCAGCAGGCGGGAGGAGAGGGGCGAGTCCCGGAAGGGGTCCCTTCTCAGGCGGCTTGGGTAGTGGCAGGAAAAAGGCATCTGACCATCAGCCATGGTGACTGCTGAGCTCAGAGGGAAATGGAGGCTCAGAGAGAGGGAGCCACCTGCCCAAGGTCACACAGCAAGGTGATGGGGGTGGGAGAAGATGGCTTTCAGGGCTTATTCTTCAGTTTCAGAAAACACTGATCTTCTGTGAGAACCATCCACTGGTGCACACCAGGCTGGGGACCCAGCCCTCAAGGTGACCCCCAGCCAGAATCAGAGGGCTCCTGTCTGCACTGCCTCACCAGAGATCAGCAAGTCACCGTCCTCCCAGGCTGTTCAGGCTCCCAGCCAGAAATGCTGAGGTGGAGACTGGAGCTAGGAGCTTAATAAACCTCGGGGACGCGCGCCTAGAAACTTCTCCTGGCTTCTTCTGGGCTGGCCTTCTATTTATGTGCTGCTGGGGGCTGGAGGCGGGTTTTGCAAGCGCCTCCTGTCACTGGAGTATTCAAAGGTGATGAACCAGCCCCAGAGAATCTGCTGAGGAGGGACAGCTGGGCTCTGGGGACAGGGAAGGGCTGGGCGTGGCCGTGGCCATTGAAGTCCAGCCGGCCTCTCTGGACTCTCTCCTCCCCCAGCCTCAGCCGGCTCCGCCCTCCTGCTGCCTCCCCAAGCAGGGCACTGAGGCCGGGATATTAATAATCTTTGCCTGGCTCAGGGCTCAGGTCACCCTCTGGAAATACCTTCCCAGAGCCTGTGGCATCCTGACTCCCCCTGGGGACCTGTAGGAGAGGAGAGACAGAGACAGGAGCCCAGTGGCCCTAGGTTGGAATCCCTACTTACAATCTGGCTAAACGTCTTAAGAGTCTTAGTATTCTTTGAGAATGATAAACAAAAAAAGTATAACATTCAAATGACACTTGGGGACTCTTTGGGCACAGTGGTGGCAGATATAGCAACCACTGGGATTTTGCAGTGTGGGAGAAAGATTGAGTTTAACTTTCAGCACAGCATAGGCAAGTGGGAATTTATAACCAACGGGTGAGGTTGGGGGAGGTCAATGGATGCAAAATAACCAACAGGAAAGTCAGAGGACATTTTGGCTAAACGAACCTAACAGGATTTATGCTCAGGATAGACCAGGGTGAGCACACATTGCATGTGGGTAGGGGTGGGGCTGGAGGACCAGCACCTGATCAGATATGGAGGGCCATCAGGTATCCGGGTGAGGGGGTTGTTGCCAAACTGACTTGTTCTTGTTAAAACTTGAATGTCCCAAGAAAATGCAGAGGGGCCTCCGGGAGGAAAAGCTTAAGAGCCTGGTTAAGCAAAGAGTTTCATCACTGTGACATTAATCCCAGGCGGCATCTGTGAGCGGTTTCCCACCTGTGGAATGGCATGAGAACAGCATTCCTGCTTTTTGTTTTTATGACTAGCTTTCATGGCTGTTTGGTTTTAAAGATGGGTCTTGCTATGTAGCCCAGGCTGGCCTGGAACCCTCCTTCCTCTTGCCTCAGCCTCCCAAGAGCTGGGATTGCAGATGTGTGCCACAATGCCTGGCTTATTTTGACCACTAACAATGATACTTACCCAGATGTGCTGTACCCAGGCAGGGCATCAGTTCTGAAACCCAAAACCCAGAAAGGACCCATTTTCTAGATTTCTCTTTTCCTTCATGCTTTGGAAAAAAATGAATTTACAAATCTCCCTTTTGCCTCAAGGGCCCATGGGTTCCTAGGGCCTTGGGGTCTTGGCTCTGCCTTCTACGCAGGGTGGGGTGGGATGGGGGTTTGAGGAATTCAGTGAGTCATGGGTTAAGAAATCATTTTGATATCAAGCTGTGCTGTATGAGGCAGTTTGGTAAAAAAAAAAAAATTACAGGCAATAGTCATTATTATCCCCTATGGCCTCTCCCAGGTCTCTGCTACTGCCATGAGTCATCATAGGGATTGCATTAAATTCTCAAAATTGTTATCACCACACTGATTTTGTAGGTGGGGAGGGAACAGGTGCAGGGTCTTGGCCTTGCACACAGGTATAGGGTGGTAGAACCTGGGTCAGATTTTGGGTTGTTCTGTATCCCAGATCTATACACAGATGGCTTACCGAGACCTCCAGCCTTTTCTCCAATGGAGAGCTCTCCCCCACCTCCCCTGCCACATCTCGCATCACATGACCTGGGTGACTAGGCCACGGACTGATGCAGAATGAGCTAATCAAGCTAGAAGCTTCAGGCTGACGTCACAGCTGGGCACAGAAGCCTCAGCTCTCTCTGTAATTACAGCTGGGTGGGACTGGCTGAGTTTGAAGCCAGAATCAGGCCCTGCCTGGGACCCTGCTGGGGCTGGGGTGAGGTTCCTGAGAGAGCGGGGTGGGGTGGGGGTGGCGTGGTCCTTTGTGTGTGTGCATTTTTGGGTGAGTGCTGTGGCGAGTGTATGTTTATGTGCATTGCTTGACCTGGCTTGGTTTATGGGTCAGAATCCTGGAGGGCATGTTCTGAAATGCCTTCCATCTCGCCCAGCCTCCTTCTACAACTCCATCCCCAAACTTCCAAAAGAACCCTCTTCCTGCAGGAAGGAAGCAAAGCCAGAGCAGGGAGCACAGAGCTGAGTCTTCCTGGTCTAACCCACCTTCTTACTCTGAGGCAGAAGTGGAGGAATTGAAGGTTTTGCAGCTAGGAAACAGAAATAGCAAGAATTAGAATTTCTGGGACCTTGGCAGGTGCCAGCTTCTGTCCCAAGCATTTCCATTTTATGTGTCCTGACTCATGTAACTCTCCCCACAATCCTGTAAGCAAGGGCTCTCTATTTTCCTCACTTTACTGATTGGGAATCTGAGGCACAGAGAGGTGACATGACTTGCCTGTGTCTTCATGGCTCAATAAATGGCAGAGCTGGGATTTGAACCTAGGAAGTTTGGCTCTTCACTCATCTGCTGTCCTCCCTTAGAAATCAGAGTCAGGGACCACTAAGTATAAAAGTGGTGTTATCCATGACCCCATTGAGTTCTCATGGTTCAGACAGGGGAAGCCACCTTCCCTGGGCTGCACAGTCAGGGAAGTTTGGAACCCCATGGCAATAACCAGGATGGGATGGAATGATGTCGCTCAGACCTTGCCCTGTGGTCCTCCTCTTGTACTGCTGTGTGCCTCATTTCCCCCTTGGGCTCATGCTGCATTTCTGGGTCAGGTCAGCTTTCTGTTTTTAGGAAGCTGAGAAGAGAGGCAGCTGTTTGAAAAGAGCTGCTGACTTGGCCACCTGGCAAGAAGTCAGATAACACATGTGGAAAGTGGTCAGCACACCCGGGACTGGGCTGTCATCAGCCAGGTGAAAATATGGGCCAGACTTAGGAGAAGCGAAGGGAAAGTGCTTCCAGGCTGGTTCTCCCACGGGAGGAAAGGACACTCGTGTGTGTGTGTGTGTGTGTGTGTGTGTGTGTGTGTGTGTGTGTAGATCCCAAGAGCCAGAGTGAAAAGTTCTCTTGGCTGCCATCTTAAAGCTTGCACACGGGAAATGCCACAAGTAATCCTCAAAACAGACAGCCCAGGGCTAGAGTGACATCACCCAGCATTCCCTAAACTGTGGCCCAGCGGGCCAAAGCAACATGTTGAAGTCGCACAGGGAGCAACAGTTCAGATGCAGTCCTCAGCTGCCAGATTCTGGCCTTTTCTTTCTGCTGTGGTAAGAAGTGGAAGATTCTTCCTTCTCGGGGAATTCCAGCTTCCAGTGGCTCCCAACCTCTCACCCTTTAACCCGCCATAACAGGATATGTTCTGTAAGGATCAAGGGAAGGTCCCTGTGACTCCCTCAATGGCATGGTCTTCTGGGTTCCGTTTTGCCTAATGGTCCACCTACAAATCCCAGGGGCTCAGAACTCTCTTTGGGGGAACTGTCTTTGGATCCTGTGTTTCTCCCACATCCACCAGGCTCCAGATCCAAGGAGATCTGTGCTCACATCTTTCTTCCTCCCTTTTCTCAGACCCCCTGCAGTCAACACCAGTGAAATCTCCAGCACTCTGCTTCATGAAGGCAGCACTTTGGTTGTCTTCTTCATAGCAGCATCCCAGGGCCTCCGGGGTGCCTGGACATCCGAGGTCCTGTCAGCCGCCCTGTGACTGGACTGTCCAGCCCTACGTGGTAGACTCCTCACAAAGTAAAGGTACCGAAATTCGCTGAAGTTTCTGGTGTAGTAGAAGGTAGGGGAGGTTTATCCAAGGATGCGCTGGAGAAAGTCGTGCTGTCTTTATCCCCGTGTCACAGGCAGCAAACCAGGCTCAAGCTGAGAGCGATTTGCCCAGCACCAACAGTTTGTGGATACTGAGCCCTGATCCATCTGAAGTTTAAAGCCAGGCCTCTTCTTTCTGCCATACACTCCTACAAAACCAAATGTAAACAACTCACACTAGCCCCTCCCAAACAAATCTATGTTTTATTGAGCTCTGACTTCCTCCTATTATTTTCTCCAAATTCCTTTTCCTGCTCCCGCTTTGGTGATACTGGGGATTGAACTCAGGGCTTCATGCTTGCTAGGCAAATGCTCTACCTAGAGTCTCCTGCTTTTGCCTAAACTGGCCTTGGACCCTGATTTTCCTACCGAGTAGCTGATATTATAGGCACGAGCCACTGCACTTGAATTGGTTTTTCGATAGGGAGGGTCTTTGTAAGTTTTTGTTTGGGCTGGCCTCCAACCATTATACTCTTATCCCTGCCTCCTGAGTAACTGGGATTATAGACAGGAAGCACCATATTTTCTCCAAAACTCTTTCCAGCGATCTTATCTCCTGACCACCTCTACAAATAATAATAACATCATTTGTAGTAATAACAAATATTTATTTAATATTTGTAAGTACTTTGCACATATAGACTTCTTTAATCCTCCCCCAAATTGTTCTATGGTAGAATATTATTCCCATTCACAGATGAACATATGAGGCACAGAGAGGTTAAACAACTTGCCTAGGTCACATGGGCACTGAGTGACAAAGGACTCTGACTCCAGAGCCTGTTCTTTACTCACTGTATGATGCCGTGAATAACAACAACAATGCAACCCATCATTATTTGGGAACTCCATGTCCCATGCTTTAAGTGCCACATGTGTGCCACCTCTTTTAATCCTCATCACTGTTGGAGGCAGTTATTATTAACTTTACATTTTTCTGTTGAGAAATCCAAGGCGCGGAGGGAGATCTGTGCAGACGGGCTTCCAAGTCTGTACTTGGAGCAGGGCAAGGAGGTTTTGTCATTAAACCTGGTCCTCCAGTCCCAGACCAACCCACCAGACAATAGCTGGCTTTCATCTCACCAATCTGTCCCTCCCCCAGCTTCTCACTGGGCCTCCCTCTCTGGAACTTTCTAGAACTTCTCAGTAGAACAAATGACACTAGAAACCCATTGGCATTTGGGGACCCAGACATTGCCTGGGATGGGCCAGCACTCGGCCAAGCTGAGAACAAATCCTCACTCACATGGAAGCTGTCCAGGGCTGGGTAGGCCCTTGCGGGAACTGCTCTACCCTGCATCTGCCCCAGGACCAGGGGGTCAGGGATCAGCTATGGGCAGAGAGGATCACCCCACCTTGACTCTACCCATCATTGGTGATGGCTGCTCCGGCCCAGGACTCTTGGGGGCTCTGTTTTTTGTTCCTGAGATCTACCCCCCTTCATGGCTCTAATAGTCACTCAGCACCCAGGGTGCTGATATCTCAGCTACTATCTATTTAGCAAGTGATAGTGTTGACTGTTGAAAAAAGACAGTAAAATGTGGTGGGTTGGAACCTGAATGGATCTGGGGTTGAATCCTGTTCCCGATGCTGCTCTGCAGAAGTGACTTTGCTTCTCTGAGCTTCTGTCTTTGTTATCTGTAAGACGCAAATGGTAATAGTACCTGATATATCTTCATTTGTGAGAATTGCTGAGATAATAATTATTGTCATGGTTTAAATAAGGTTTCCCCCAGAGGCCCATGTGTTAAAGGTTTGGCTCCCAGCCTGTAGTGCTATTGGGAGGTAGTGGAACCTTTAAGAGGTGGACCCTAGTGGAGGCATTGAGGAGTGTGGCTTTGGAAGGGATATTGAGATTCCCCTCTCCCCATCCTATCTCTGTCTTTGCTTCCCAAGCATGAGTTTAGCAGCTTTTTTGTCATGATATAATGCTTGCTACAAGCCCAAAGAAAACCAAGCCAAGAAACATGGACTGAAATCTCTGTACCTATCTGCTTTATAAGTTGCTCACCTCAGGTATTTTGTCATAGTTCCTATCTCACAAAGCAACTGTCAGTGTGAATTGTAAGGAGGAAATGGTCAAGTGGGTGGTCAGTGGGCATGGCCTTGTAGACTCTATTTAGGAGTCAGCCTCTGTCTTGAGCACATAGAAGAATGACTGAACCTTCTAAAGAAGGGGGGGGTGTAGTGAGAAGTGAGCTAGGAAAATCGCTGGCACTCATACTCATGAGGGGGTGCACTCATGAGGGGGGGTATGCTGGGACCAAGGCTCACAGGATACCAGCAGGGGGAGGTTGTAGTGATCTAGGCAGAATGGTGGCCTTGGCTGAGCTGATGAATGGATACAGATGAAGAAGCAGAAGCAAGTGAACTGGGTGATGGGATAGGAGGGGGAGTGGTGCATCAAACATATTGTTTGGTTTTTAGATTGTGGCAAGAGGGTGGATAGCAATGCCACTCAATGAGCCTGTGAGGAGGAGAGATGGATGAAGAGGGATATGGTCTGTTCATTTGCTCATTCATTCATTGCAAATTTGCTCAGTGCTTATATACAAAACACTAGAGGTGAAGCAGTGAGTGAGCCAAAACTTCCTGCTTTGATGTGTATCAATAAACGATCAAATATGCAATTAAAATTATTTCAGATGCTGAAAAGTTTTATGAAGGCAGTAAAGACTCCTGGCTACCTTTCTCATTCAATTCCCTGCTACTGTTTTCACACTGCTTCTTGTACTTCAGCCACAGAGGCCTCCCTTCTGCCTCCCAAAGAGAAGATTCAAGCTTATTCCTGTCTGAGGTTTTCTCTCTGCTGTTCCCATCACCAGGAACACTCTTCCCACAGTCTCCATGTGGCTGGCCTCTTAATTCTACTTAAATTTCCTCTACTCAGAGAAACCTTCTCTAACCACTTAAAATCACATCCTCTCACATGTGTTGGTTTAATTTACTTTATAGCTCTTGCCTCTAACTGGTAATTGGATCTTTTACTTCTCTTTGTCTGTATCTGCCTCTCCGTTAGTATGACAGCTGCCTGAGGATGGAGGTTGGAGACTGGTCTGATGGCTTATGGCTGTATCACTGGTACCTGGGACAGTACCTGGTACACAGAGTTCAATAAAGCTTGTGATGTGTCATTTGTCATTAGTGTTGGTCACCAAACGATTCTGGTTTCCCCTTCTCCCTCCACTTTCTAGTCACAATAATAGGTAGCAAACGCATTTTCTGATGATACTTTTTGGGAAGAGTTGTGTAGATAGATCACTGTGGCCAGTGAGGAGAAATTATGTCTGTCATTGCCAGTTCAAAGCATCTAATAAGCCATGAGAGACCTTTGGCTATATTGAGGCAGTACTCTTGGGTTATTTTCTTTCTCTCTGGAGTATGGTCATCAACATCCCTAATGAGTGGACTTGTCCCTGCCAGCCCCCAATGGATGTGGATGAGAGATAAGCCTTTGTTCTTTCAAGGGACTGAAATTTTGGACTTATTTGTTACTGCAGCATAACCTCACTGATTCGGACGAATAGCTTTCCCAACAGCATCCTGTTATGGTTGTTGGGATGGCTCTATTTAAAAGACCATTCTCAGTGCTGATGTTACTGTAAGGGCTAAAACGTTTTATCTCCTTGTGTGTCAAAAGCCTGGTGGGAAAGTGGTACATGTTCCTCTCCATTTGGGACATTTATGACACATGTCATTAGAAGCCCCTTGTGCGGAGGGTGGCTCTGAGTTCTTTAAGACAAGGAGAGATGGACGGTCTGGAATCTCAGGGGCCCCTCCCAGATACCTCTGAGATTAGAGCAGCAACTGGTTTGACAAGTTGGTGACTATGACACCAGGCCATTGCTTTGGAAACTTTTTTTTTTTTTTTAGAGCGACAGCTCTTGGGAGTGTCTAGCCTGAGAAGGTTCTCAAGTTTTGTGTTGGTACAGGGAAGAAGGCTGGAATCGTGGGGGTGAATGTTTAGATAGGAGAAGGAGAAATAGGAATGAAATATGCTCTTTGGGAGACTCTCTTAGCTTCACTCTGAATATGAGTTAGAATTAGCCTTAGCTGTGAGCAAAACAGTCAGAATAACAGCAGAAACAAGAGAGAAGTTTATTTCTTCCTATATGTTGGAATTCAAAGACATCTGTCCATTATTGGTCTGTGGGACTGAGATCAGCGTATTGCTGCATTCATATGGGCTCCATTCCAAAGCCACCTCATGAACCAGGAGGCCATTTGAATTCCAGCCAGCAAAAAGAAGGAAGGGATGAAGAAGAAAGAGCACACAGGCAATCTCTTTCATAGAAGCTACCATGCAAAAATTCTACCTGTGTTTCATTGGGTAAAATTAGTCACATGGTCAGAGCTGTGGCTGCAGAGGAGGCTGGGAAATGTAGTCTTTATTCTTGGCAGCTATAAACTTAGTTAAATGGGAAGATTCTATTACCATGAATGAAAAGGGGAATGGCTATTGGGAGGCAGCTTAGAAATTACCATATCCCCAGGTACTGAAGAGGATTTTGCAGAAGCATCCTAAAGGTTCCTTTCACCCTGCTGACAAATATGCATTCTGTTCCTAACTGCTGACTTGTTCATAAGGAAAACTTTGCTTGGGATTTCAAATGATTGACAGACTCTGGTAAGCTCAGATATGTGAGGTCATGGGTTCCCTTCAGTTGATACCTTACTGGATGGGCATAGTGGTACATACCTATAATCCCAGCATCTGGGAACTGGGGGCAAGAGGATTGTGAGTTCAAGGACAGCCTGAATTGCATAGGGAGACCCTGTCTCAAAAAAAACCCCAAACAACAATAACAACAACAACAACAAAAAAAAGCAAGGAGAATACACCTCAGTGGTAGAGTACTTGCCTAGCATGTGGTTGAGTAAAGGAGAGAAAGAGAGAGAGACAGAGAGAGAGAGAGAGAGAGAGAGAGAGAGAG